AAAAAAAAAAAAAAAAAGAAAGAAAGAAAGAAAGAAATTTGTGAATCCCATGCTTCCTTTTTTTTTGGAGACAGAGTCTCAAGGTATCACCCAGGAGGGAATGCCATGGTGTCCTAGCTAACAGCAACCTCCAAATCTTGGGCTCAAGCAATCCTCTTCCCTCAGTTTTTCTATTTTAAGTAGAGATAGGGTCTCACTCTTGCTCAGGTTGGTCTTGAACCTGTGAGCTCAAGCAGTCTACCCACCTCGGCCTCCCAGAGTGCTAAGATTACAGGCATGAGCGCCATCATTTGTAAATATGAGTGAATCAAAAACAAAAAGGCATTCAATTTTAAGATACCATCAACAATATTGCATGTCAATGAATTTCTGGAATCACCATTACCTTGCAAGTCACCTCAACAAAGAAGAGAAATATCAAGCTCAAGCATAAAGGTTTATTTTACATCAACCCTCAATTATTTTTCTGAAAGCAGGAATCTGAAATTCATTCACACAAAGCACAAGCTCCCAAGAGACATTCTACAAAGGAAATCAATATTTTGTGTATATTAAATATTCCAGAGGTCAATTATTCTCACCAAGAAAGACCAGGCTGCTATAGTTCTCTAACATCACATCCCTATACAAATTCTGCTGCGCAGGATCCAGGTATTCCCACTCCTCTGGAGAGAATTCTACGGCCACATCCATGAGTGTCAACGGTACCTGAAATAAAAATAAGTGAATAAGTAAGTGTTGACCATGCGGTCATTGGCAGAGCTCTTAATTTGATCCAAGATAAAACTAGAGATTTAAGAGTATTGGCTCTGGCTTGGCACCTGTAGCTTAGTGGTTAGGGAGCCGGCCACATACACTGAGGCAAGTGGGTTCAAACCTGGCCCAGGCCTGCTGAACAACAAAATAGCCGGCAGTGTTGTGGCAGGCACATGGCACATGTAGTCCCGATATGTGGGAGGCTGAGGCAAAAGAATCGCTTGTGCCCAGGAGGCTGACCTTGCTGTGAGCTGTGACACGACAGCACTCTATAGAGGGTGACATAGTGAGACTCTGTCTCAAAAAAAAAAAAAAGTGGCTTTGACATATGAGTGACATAAAGATATATCTTAGCACACCAACATTCCTTATGATAGTCTCTACCTCTGTATAAAGAAAATGATATATAATCAAAAAAACTGATACAAATACTACGCTTATATAGTATATGATATATAAAATTAAAGCATCATCACATAAATATACATTTGTTAGTGGGGTATTTGCAACATACAAATTACCTGTGTATATTACTCAAGTGAAAAAGTCAAGGTGAGTTAGCAGCTTATTTCTCATATTTTATTGTGTACAAAAATAACCTGGAGATCTTGTTGTAATGCAGATTTTGATTCAAGAGATCTGCGTGAGATTCTGCAGTTCTAACAAGCTCACCAGTGATGCCAAGTTCTCAGGTTTAAAAGCCACACTTTTCAACAACAGAGGTAGAACATGCAGGCAAGAATTAATGAATGACATGAAATTGAGTCAGAGTTTTATAAAATATACAGGCGATAAGATAATAGTAAGAATAGCAGCAATCCCTAGAACGTTTACTATACACCACATGTCATCCTAGCAGTTTTTCATATATTAATCCTTAAAACCATAAAAAGAATTTATGAAAAAATAATAATCTCCCTTTTTCATGAGAATATTTTGCCAGTTATCCAGCAAACAATCTTGGGTTTT